AGCCCGTCGATGAAACTACGATAACACACTCTTTTTAACAATACGATTCGATCTACGTTACTATCCTTAGCATCTACTACTTCGTAAGTCAACACCCTCGTAATAACATAACGATTACATTTATATACCATCAAAAGCACCAAAGATCCGAAAAAGAAACGCCGTTCCGTTGCGCGCATCGACCCGGAAACTCTCACACGGATGGTGAAGCACATTCTTTCGTTTTCTCAAGCTCTTTCTTGGGGCACCAAGGAACTAAGACAAAACGGAAAGACTGAGACAATCACATTCCCAAGACTCACAAGAACACACCCAGTGGAAGTGATGTTTATGGATTACGCAAGAAAGGAGGCAGAGCTCAAGGGAATTGAGTTCAACGAGGAGCGTCAACCACCTCAACACACAACCTACTACCTCCTTGTCAAGCATTTGACACCAAAGGCTGAGAAAAGTATCACTTGTATTGACTATGTCCAGGATATCTTGGTGAATGTTCAAGTGACTGGGCTTACAACAATTATTGAGCAAGTCGTTGCCCCAACTCAGCAGAAGGCAATGCAGCGATACGTGTTAGTCCTTCAAAACTTTCTGAAGTACCAATATGATGGGCACCTTGAAGAAGGATCAGTAGTAAGTAAAGCAAAAGGAAATGTGCAAGATGCTGCATCTATATCCCTTCTCACAGTGTCGTCAGATTTGTTCCCACAGCATCAACTATGGCCTAAGATTGGAACAACAAAGTTATGAAGGCAATAACTCATCAAACTGTGTTCAAATCCAAGGCATCAAACATTGCCCCGCGTGCAAGTTTGTTGAGTACTTCATGCGTGTTATACTTCCTGGTGAAGTGAAGGAAAATCAAAGCTCAGCAAACAGTGCCAGCGTTGAAGATGCATTGGACTACATTGAAGACTCGCTTGATTGCTTCCATCGCTACCAAGCTCATTGTGTACGAGTGAAAAGTCAACAAAAAGCAATTCAGCAAGTAGATCTTAAACTCAAAGAGGAGGTGTTGAGGAGGAAACAACGCGGCACAACAGTAAAAATTACAATGGACTTCAAGCAAAAGCTCTTGGAAAAAAGGTTGCGTTCAAGCCAAATGAATGACTTTGGACAGCGAGGTAACAGTTGGCATATTGGTGTCATAGAGTATTATGACTTTGAAGCGCCGTGTCAAGCCAATGGCAATACAGCCCAAGCAGTTCCCATGATGTTCCCACTTGATCAAATTCTTGATACCGGGAATAAACAAGACGGACTCTGTGTGTTGTCAATGCTAGAAGCGATGATGAAAATTGTCACAGTGCAGTTCCACTTTGTCGAGAGAATTATATTGGCTAGTGACAATGCCAATTGTTATCACAGTAAGGAACTGATCTTCCCCATCTGCTTTCTCAATCAGCTATCAAGCAGCCCAAAGATTATCAAGTACATTCACCCTGATTCACAGGATGGAAAGGGTTTGTGCGATTCTCATGCAGCGGTTGCTGGGACTCATGTGGATCGGCACTATATTCGCACCCAAAAGGACGATACGCTCACAAAGAACGAAGCTTGTACGCCTACAGAACTCGCCAACGCATTATGTACCAATGGCAGGATAAACCAGCTCTCCAGGGGAGGGGAAATCGGTATGGAGCTTGTTCGTTTGGGGGTATCGTACCTGTACCGTGTGTGGGTGGTACCTGGTACCTGGTACAGTACACGTGAACGGTATTTTGAATAGTAGTAGGGGCAGCAGATACCGTACGACGGTACAGTACTGTGCTGTATTAGAAGCGTGGAAATTCTTTTGTCGGAAATGCAGGTGGCATGCGCGGAGAAGAAAGGTCTCTGTTAATATAAAAAACCACGTGAAATCTGTTGTTGTTGCATGGTTGTTGTTGCTTCTATTTACAGTTCGGAACAGAGATGTTTGATTTCCGATTGTCGTTGGTCTGCGCAATGGATGTAGGTGTTTTTATCCCCACAAGCAGTGGGAGTTTTCGGGCCACCCGTTGTGTATGCGGAGATCGGGTCTGCAGAGAAAGCCAGCAGAGGTTCAAGAAGATGAATGATGCTAGGGGCGGTTTTTTCACAGTCCCTGCGGAGGTTGGAAGTCGCAAAGAAGCAGGAGGGAGCGGAAGAGGAAGAGGAGCATCATTTGCAGCAGAGAAACGGAAGATGATTGACATGCATGTCAGTGGAAAACCAATTCCGAACGGTCGATGCTTTGTTGCAATGCTGCATTTTTCACCAATCATTCTGAAGTCCAAGTGCATGAGAAGAAGAGGCAAGGATTACACATACTGTTGGCTCTTGAGGCAAAGGGTTAGCGGCGAGTTGGAAGATGTGGTAGCGCCAAATTATCCTCTGGTAGATGTGCTGCGAGATGTGAGGGAAACTGAAAAGGCCCACAGTGAAAGGCCTGTTTACACTGCTGCATCAAAGAGAAGTACGGAAGAGATCGTTCGGCTTTTTGTCGGGGACAGAACAAAGATGACCCAAGCCGAAAAGAAAAGGATGAGGGACTTTTCTCATTTCATGAGAAGACAGATCAAGAATGGAAGGCGACTCCCCTTGGAGAAGGAAGCACGATTGGAACAAATTGGATTCTTCCGTAAATTCCCAGTGGACATTGTAGAGGCAGCAGGTCTGCACATGAATGAAGGTAAAGGGTTGTTAGAGGAACCTAGAAAACAACATGCAACCGAGAGAATTTAGGTAGTAAAGAAGGTTGGTACAGCTGCAGAATGAAGAATGCATTGTTATATATATTACTTAATATTGCGCCATATTCGTGCTTGGATTGTTGCCTTGTTGTGAGAAGAGGGGATGCAGGTGTTGAATATAATTGTTGTGCGCCTAGTCATGGAAGTACGAATATGCTGGATTATTTGGGTCCAATGCTTCGTTGTAGGTGTACGAGACACCGTTACCTTGTCCTCTCTTTGCTGCGTCTCTGGCAAGCTTTAGGGATCTTGGGTCAAGGTAGACTCCGATGTCTTCTCGTGCAAGGATAGTGTTTATGTCCGTATTTGGAAAGTAGTACAGCTTTAGGGCTTCAAGAACGTCCGGAACCGTGATGTAGTAGCTCAAGGGTTGCTTGATCTTGGGTGTGATGTCGCCTGCATAGGCCAGAGGAAGAAGATACCTGCACTGATCGTCACTGACTGCTGTAAGGGCACGTGCAATTGTCTCTGCCCATTCTGTCAGTTCTTGCGATGTCCATCTCTTCTGTCTTATGCACAGGAGCAACGGCCATGGCTTTCCTTGGAAGTAGTCTCCTGTTCTTCCGCAAGCTTTTGGGATCATTGGATTTGTTTCGTCACACATATTAGGAATCATGTGAACCTTACAGTGCCGTTGGAATTGTTTTAAAGCAGATTCATTGTTTAAGATCTTGTCCAATGTAACTTGGATGGGGGGGGAGCGATTGGTGTCCTTTGGAAGTAGGCAGATCAGAACGACAGTTCCTGGTACGTCTCCGACACATGCAGTTACAACGCGATTTGGATGAAGCATTTCAATTTTGCGTAGATGCTTGCGTAGGAAGGGTTGCTTGTCCCCACCAATTTCTTTTGCATGGACCAGATCCTCGGCAAGAGAAAGCCCAGCATTGTGGTTGTGTCTAGCTCTTTTGGACTTGGTTATTGCAAGAGCAGCTGCAGGTTCTCTGATGTCAAATGACAGAAAGCCATCGTCGTCATCAGAAGTGTCAGTATCAGAACTGTCATCAATGTTGCGTTTGGGATTGTTAAGTTTCGCATCCTTTTTGAGTTTGGGGGTTGCAGACGGTTTTCTGTCATCTTGTGGTGCTTCCTCTGGTTCACATTCATCATCAGTTGTTACCATCTCTCGTGCCATATCGTCCACAAAAGGTAAGGTGGTCTTTGCAGTTTTGTTTTTTGCAATTTCCGCTGTAGTCTTAGGTTTATGTTTGGCGGGAGTAACGATGGCACTCTTTGCTTGATGTGAAGATTGACGAGGTGAGTGAGGCAAAGCATCTGTCTTGCTTGGAGCGTCATCTTCGATGTGGTATCTCTTGGGTTTCCTGCGTCGTTTGGAGACCCGAATCACTGTCTTTGTTGGCTTTGTAGCACCCATGGTTGCCTTGCGATCGGCGCTGCTGTGGTTTTGTTTGTTTCTTGAAGGAGACAAAGGTGCATCATCGTGAGAATTGCTCGTTTTGGTGTATTTTGTTTTTGCCATGTTAGATTTTATGAGCATATTTTGACAGAAAAGGTGAAGATTCATGTGAATGTTATCGTCACTGAGTTACGATGTTGTTGCCTTACGAAGTAGTAGCTATGGTAGACGGTAGACAGTATTGTAATCAAACGTATTCTTAAAAAGAGTGTGTTCATCGTTCATCGACAGCTTTTGTAAGCAGCCGATTTATCCTTACTACTCACAGACCGCTTACAATCGTACACGTTTGTATCAGTACGGCGCAGCTCGCATCCTATAGCACAGTCACCTTTATTTGGATTCGCTTCCAAACGGGACTTTCAATTTTGGTCAAAGCTGGGCGGTCTACTTTTGGGTTCCTTACATAGCAAAGAAGCTTGCTGGTGGTGTATTTGAAAGTGAGTGTCTCCTAAGTAGACAGCCACAAATTGCTGTTGCTATGGAACTTATTGGTGCTGCTGTTTTCAACTAGGTTTGGCAAGTGATCCATTTACTTTTACTCTGTTTGTATTTACAGGTGCTTGCACGTTGTGGCATATTGTGGCGCCTGGCGGGGCTATCTGATTGAAATGGACATATTCATGGTTTGATAAAGAAGATTGTTGGGCGTTTTTGCTAAGGCTGTTCTGATGACGGAACTTTGGTAGAAATAGGTCGAATAGTAGGTAACAGCTGCGGGGGCATTTTAAACAGTATGTACAAGGTTGAAGTTTAGAAAACTGACGTACCGCAAGAACAGAATTTCTATTTTAAAAAACTGTATGTTAACCCTTTAAGGTGGAAAGGAAGGCGGATTTATTTTTTATGGAATTTGCAAGCTTTGTGTTCCTCACTCATCAACGTTGTAATCTTGTGGATATTTCTGTAATTATTTTGTTTCGTTGTGAGATTTGCTCTTGGAGAGGATGGCTGTGACAACGAGACAGCGAAAAACCAAGCGGAGATGGTATACCACAGGTCAACAGAGTTTTGAACACCGGCAAAAAAAGGTTAAACGTGACAAGAACAATAAAGATGTTGTTTTGCGTGCCATAAAACGGCAACAGAGAGCAACGGAAAACGAGACACTGCCTAGTTATATGAAGGTAGACGTTATGCAACTAAGAAATTTGGAAAACGATTGGAAGGAGGATGCATCTAAGTGCAAGTTGACCAATAACTTGGACCATGCTATATTGGCACTATACGTCAACAGTGGTTATACAAGATATGACGAGCACTTGGGTTACTCATTTGCACATTCTGGCACTGTTGTGGATACAGCTAGAATCGCAGAGGAAGTTGCTGCAGAAGCACTATCTGAGGATGAGCTACAAGAGATCATCAAGAGATATGTGGATGCCTACAGCTTTTGTTCTGAATTGCTTGCTTGTGGAGCTTGTGGAATAAGGCAGTATGAATCTGATAACAGTAGTGCAACTATAAAATACCATCAAGTTCGACTGTCACAATTGCCACATGTGTACAGATATGACGCAGCACAACATTTAAGACTGGACCAGATGAAGGAAAAGGGGTTATTGCAAATACCTGATGTCAGTGGTACAAGAAGAATAGCAATTGAGCCGTGGAAAGCTGTGTCACACTTTGTCTCTCCGGAAGATGGAGCAACGTATCATTTGCATCCCGAACTTGTTACTTTGGTGCACAATGACAAGGGAGAAGCCTGCGCTGCATATACAAACCTATGTCCTTGATGCACAAAGGCGCTTTCAAATGGAACATCTTACAAGCTCTCTATTGCAAATGGTGTCGACTTTGGTAACTTTGACAGGCTTGAAGGTGTGGAGAAATTAAACTTGCATGAGGAGATGATCCTATCAAAGACTAGGCTATATTCCGCTTCAATCAAAGTATTTACAAATGGACAAGGATTCCAACGTACCTTTGGTCGAAATACAATGAGAGGAAATCAAATTCTATTTTCTCATGATTCTGTTGAGAAAGTGGAGCACGAGCTGGTTACAAAGGATGATCTGGATGCAATCATGAAAGTGCTGTTCTACAACGAAAAAGGTAGGGATGACGCAATGGCAAAGCGTGCTTATGGAACCTCCAAGTTATATGCACGTACAAATGTATTGCGGCAGTGGTTTGCACTTCTCCGTCGGTTAAGCCCATACTACTGTAATATTCGACAGGAGGTAGTGGATAATTTGATGAATCGGGTGCAGCAGAGTGTTAAAGATAAGATGGAGGAGCCAATTTTTATATGTGATGCCCAAAGTTTGTCTCATGAAAAGGCTCTTGGGTCGGACGTTGCAGCGGTGCAGCAGCTGGATTCAATGTCTTCAGACTACCATGACTGTTCTGATACTGAGCATGATCTTTCTGTTACAGAGCAATCAGCAGCAGTATACAGTGTCAGCAATAACTCTGTTCAGTCAAGTTGCAACGAGTTGCCTTTGAAAACACATTACATTACCCCATCGCCAGATACGATGCTGAGAATGGAAGGCATTCGCCAAAGGGTAGAAAATGATGCCATTGCAAAGATGATGCATGGCGTGGAGCACCAAGCATCAAATGAGGGTCTGGCATGTAGCGCCGATCACATGCAGATGGAATTAAATGATACTGTTGCAGGTTGGTTTGGTGCGGAGCGTAGCAACGTCAAAGATAAATGTGACAATACTGTGGGTGTTGTGATATCCAATCGAGGCCAGGATCCAATTAACGAGTTCATACCAGATGACAAGCTCTTGGCATCAACATTTCCACACCTATTTCCGTTTGGAAAAGCATACGGCAGATGTGCTGGGAATCTTAACAGAGAAGAGTGCGAGCATTTGCTGAAGCAATTTAATGTATTCCACTGCAAAGATCGGAGACTGCTTGGATATCTGGCTGATGTAAAACGGAGATTTGAAGTTATTAAGAACGCAAGCCTCAAGCTTAGCGGAAACAGTGAAGCTTTAGCAAAAGTTAATGCCTTTATGGACCGGAGCGACCACCAAAAGATTCTTGATACGTTGAAGGATGATCCTAATAGCGCTACTGCAAAGAAGATATGGAATGGGCTGAAATCATCTCTTGCGCTGGTGGGAGGCAACGTAGCCTATGGGGCTTTGGAGGCAAGTAAATGCATTAGCCAGACAATCGAAACCTCAAAGCGATATGGCTCTGGGTGCACTTTCCTGACACTATCACTTGACGATGTCTTCAATACACGTGGAATAAGAGCTGCAATAAAAACATCAAGCAACACCGATTTCCCTGCAGTGTTTGGCAACGGAAGCCAATACAACTCCTTAGATGCTTTTGTGGCAGACATCAAAGAACAAGCAATTGATCAGGGGCATGGCACAATCAGCTTTGATGAAAGTCAGGGCATGAGATTTGAAAGCGCTTTATTGTCCAGACTAGTGTTAGAATAAAGCAAAATGTGCTCTATCGTGAGTGCCTTTAGCGCTCAGAACAAACTCTCTGCAATCTAAATTCGTAATCGACTGTACAACACTTTCACGACAATAGTTCTCCTGTGTCTA